ATTACATTGTTCGCTTATAATGATTATATAAAAATAATATGACATTTATATCGCGCAAATTCGTGAAACGATCATTGTTCTATGCGCATGCATAATATTCTTTTAAAACATGCATACACACATACATGCGCATAATATATGCACTAAAAAATAATAGTATTAGAGTAAATCATTCAAGCGAAATATTGCATACACTCTTTCTAACTAAATAAGGAAACAATTATTGAGACTCATGTCAATGACAAAAAGCGCCTTAATTACAAATAAAACAAGTGACAGTGGAATTCTGATAAAGTCAACACCCCGGACAGAAAAAAAGTGTTGACTTTGAGCAAGCTTGACTTTATCCATTGAACTACTGGCCATCGAAAATTGAAGATGACAGCTACAAAATTACAAGGTACCGAGTAATAAACAAGATGTAATCTCAATTTCAGGGAGTATAATTCTGAAGTTGTCTCCAAAACAAGAGATAATGAAAGAACAAAGTAATTGGAGGTGTGTACACCACTAGCTCAGGCGAAATATCTCTTCTTAAATGAATTTATCTTGGGATTTAGCGCCAAATTGTTGACTTTACGCAAGCGTAACTCTCAAGCTGTATCAGAAACATAATTAGATCATTAGATCTACTTAATATTACTTAATCAAAGAAGGTAAAAAACGGGACCACAGTGAGATGTTGACTATAAGCAAGAGTTGACTTTAAGCAAGTTGACTTTATCAGGATTCCACTGTATCTGTTATTACTGATCATTATGCTGAAAACAAAAGGTGAAATTAGTTATCATCAACAAGGGCAGTGTTCATTATTATGTCAAAAATATTTTTTCACCCCACAAAAGTGGAATATTACATTAGTTCAAGACCCCCCCCCCTTTTTCTAACACTTTTCTTACAGGAGACAAAGACACCCCCCCTCCCAGACGTAAGATTATATTTGAACGGCCCCTAAGGTAAAAACCGGTGCTCCGTATCAACTACCGACTTCCCGAGAGACGGACGACAAACGGTCGGGCGGTTTCTGGTTTGGTGAACTCGTGGCCCACACTAGTGCGTTCACACAGAAATGTCGGACGGCCGACCGATAACTTTACTTATCTTTGTTTATTCATATTTTATTAATGTAATTTTGCTTTTCCGTCCTCTTGTATAGTAGTAATACCTGGTGCCTATTGCGGATCGGATCGGGTTGGGCAGTGCATATCTCGTAACGAATAGACCCCTCCCTTGTCATGTCAAATTTGACAAGAATAGAAAACTATGACCGACACACGTCTTACTGAACACAAAAATAACCATTCACAACACAACCATTTCATTTGAATAAACGGCTTCAAGTGCCGATTGTCACATATTGCGGTTGTTGTATTGAGAGGTTCCTGAACAAAATCCATCACAATTCCCAAAACTGCAGTAAATAGAGCCTTGTCTAACACCGAAGGCCAATTTGTTTCAAAAGGTGTGCAGAGGTCTCTTTCAACCAGAACGCAGAAGCTCTCCTTGGTGTGCAGTTATTGTATACAATTTATTATTCTCGCATTCTTCAAATTTAACCTAAGAGAAAATACTCCAGAGCTGTCAATGCTCAATCATAACGGCTGTCAATTATTACAAAAATAACAGAAAGGGTTCTCAACTTGCGACAGCAAAGTTTGTAGATCTAGCAAAATTCCGTAGAGTCGAAATATAACTTTTGTGGTGTCTTCAGCCAGCAAGCAGTTAATGTCACTGTTTGTGAGGACTTTAGCCAGTAGGGAGAAATGCCAATGTTTGTGAGGGCTTCAGCCAATAAGGAGGAATGCTACTGTTTGGGATGGCCACAGCAACAACCAACAACATTTTAATAGAAATACCACTGGTTTTTGTGGCTAGAGCCAGAAAGACATTAGTTCTTCTGTTGTCATTGTCAACGCACCACATAACACTGGCTACTGTTAAGTTAGCTTGATGTGTTATAGAAAATCTAAAAGTAAGAATTAGATTTTGTCTATTTGATTTTTATTGTAGGCATGTCAAGGAACTGCTTACCTTGTGTGTTACGTGCAGAAAGAAGTGGCTCTGACCAAAAATTGTTAGCTGAAGCTTATTCAAAGGGTCGTCGATAGGGCTTAGCATAATAACATCATCATGGTGTCATGCACGAACAACCATTTTAATGCATTATAAATTACCAGAAATAGACTAGATTACTGTTAGGCTGCCGTCTTCTTCAGCGCGAGCTGTTTGCCGAATTTGTTTAACGGGAATTCCTGTCATGACCCTGGCTTCGGCGCTGACCAAAGTGTTATGATATAGTACTAATATAACCAAAAGATAGCACTAAAGCTGGAGGCAGCGACGTCATTCACATGAACAAACGTGAACTGCGTATCGTGTGCCCACTCTGGGACGCTGAGCGTTGAAGGATAGAACATTAAACTGTGACCACTTTCCGAGACTCGCGTGGAGACGTCTGGACGGGCTTAAGAGGAAATCTACAAGCTTAAGCTTGCACTGAAATGTGGGATCCTAGGGAGTAGGGACAACAGTATCAAAAGCAACTGCAACACCCACCATGACAACTGCAATGGTAACAATACATTTTTAAAAAATTTTAAAAAACTTTTGGTACGAAAAGTTGGTCTCATGAATTGTTTCTTTGTCTACATTGGTATGTTTTGATCGGTATTTATCTTTGTCGAGATAACAAACAATAACAACTGATAACATGACAACAAATAACAACTGATAACAACAAAATAACGACAAAAACCAACACAAACTTCCTAATTCAGTTGTCTACATTGATACAACAACTGATACATGTAGCAACAAATTATAACAACGCCCCCTGGGGCGGTGCCACTGACTGAAGTGTCTTAAGGCTATTCTCAGGGGGGGGGGCATTTCTCGCTCTAATGCTCAGTAGAATTGTAAATGGGCTGATCCAACAATGTCATGTTCATAACTGTGCCTGAACTAAAACAGGGAACTGCTGCTTTTTCTTTCCTAATCCTTACTATTGTCATTTTCTTCTACTTCTTTTGCATGTTTGTCACTCTTGTGACCCGCTGTTTTCGGGGTGCCTTGATAGCTGAAGCAGACTTTGTGCTGGTGAAGCTAGAGAGGTAAGCAGAGTAAGTCTGATTCCCTGTAAGGATTTCTCTGCTGACATCCACCCCTTGGTGCTCATATGACCATAATATGCAGTTGCGAGCGCCGTAAAACCTCCACTAAAACAAAACAAATAAGAACTAATAACAACAAATAACAACCGATTAAAACAAAATGTTGACAAATATCATCACAAACGTGCTCACACAAGGTGATCAATCCAATGTAACTTTTTAACAATGATATTTACGTTGTCACACAATACTGTATGACAGGACAACGAATGGTGATGACCTGATTACATACAACAGGACGTACCGGTACTGAAACTACAAGATTTAGGCTATACAATCGTGCAGGGAAATTATATTTTTAATCTATTAATAAATTTAATTTTAAAGTCTCAAAATCTCATGTCATTCACGTTGGTGAGAAAAAAAAGATATATGAAGAGACAGGATTACGCCATGAAGATTTGCAATGAAGTGCAGTCAATAGGTAGGCTACTTGTGAAACTGAAAAGGGTTTGGGTGTCACATTTGACAATAGACTTTCTTTTGATCCATATATAAGAATTGTACAAAAGGCGAACCAAATGTTAGGTATTATTATTATATTAAAAGAACACTTTTTTTATTTGGATAATCATACACGTCTAAAGCTTTACAAGGCTTTTGTAAGAACACGTTTAGAGTACGCCAGTGGTCGTGTTGATATCTTCAATTCCAGCTCTTTCCAATACTTCAATGTGTGTTACTTAGACGTAATATTTTAGGAGGCCCTATAGGCTGCAGTTTTTTTCACAAGGTCATCAATAATACTTAGCAAACGAGACGTTACGCACCAGCAGTTAAGTCCAGTGGGAATTTGATTTAGTTTATTTGATTCAAATTAATCATAAGTATGTCAAGGAACTGCTTAAGACAAGATCTTACCTTGTGTATTACGTGAAGGAGTCTGTGACTGTGACAAAATGTTTTAGCTGCAGCTTATTAATAGTCCAACGGGTCGTCGTTTAATCTCCGCATGACACGACACGGCGCGCCTACGGTGGAGCTTCAGGTAACGGCGGGGGTTTCCATCGAGTCGTGCTGGGCGATTTTACTAATGGTTAAACATGTACAAGGCGATTTCTTTAGAATGAACTCTTTTCTTCGAATTTGTCTAACGGGAATTCCCGTCATAACACTGGCTTTTGTGCTGACTCACTAGCGGTATATTATAGCGTACCAGGTGAAAGATATCTTATGACGCATTTCGAACAATTGCATTTTTATTGCATTTTATGATATAAACATCATTTCTGAACAACTTGCTTTTAACATTAAAAGATAGGTTCAGTACTTTGTGAGATCTGGTTAACATTGTCAGGTAGGGTGCGGAAACTAAGTTTAGAGAAAATTTGCTTCAAAGTTTCCCTTAGAAGTGGTCCGAGTTCTACGTCTAATGAATATCGATCGATCAGCAAACTGTGTTGTTTGACTCCAAAACATTTGACCACACAGTTACTGCGCAATATGCAGCTTTTAGAAACCGCTTCGGACAGTTTTAAAGTGTCATTGATACATTTATGAAGCAAATTCAAGGTCAATTAGTGATTGGAACTTGAAATTTCGCAAAACTGACTTGGCTTTGCTCACGAAGTGTAGGAGGATACGTGTACGCGCGAACCTCCCCCCCCCCCCCCCCCCCCCCTTTCCTTTACTATGTTATTGTAGGAGAGAGCGGGTAGGCCTTGGACTCGGGGAGACTTCGGACTCGTCGATTCTCGCTAAACAATTGATAGTACATATTATAATTTGTCACTGGATCACATAATGTGTGACGTGAGGTTTAGGTTTCCCGTATTTTGCCGCATTACTGAGCAAAACCTTGCATGTAATGTGAAGGAAAGTGTGTTTTTAACAGGGGTGTATCTTAGTTTTCATACCTCATTCTGTAAGGTTAACACGTCATAATAGCGCACCGATCCTTTCACAAAGCTATCAGGGGCGGCTCACCCACAGAGCACGGTCGTGCACTGCCGCCCAAAAATGTTAATGACTACAACACCCACAAAGAGACTATAAAATAACCTTTTATATCCCCTATCTAATCACTTTTCTAATCAAGTTCCATGATCGGTCATTAGCTATGTACTCATATATGTGCTTTGGGGTGTCTTGTCATATGCCAAATTCGTAAGATTAAACCTAGCTGTCATGACCTACGATTCATGAACATGTTTTGGGGGCTTTATGTATTCTTACCCCCTTGTAGGGAGACTTCATACAGGGGGTGGGTGACTTTGTACACTGTCCGAAGTTTCTCGACGACTTATGTAAGAGTAGCTGGAATAACAGTTACAGGGTTACAATGAAAATGACATTTTAAAAACGTATTCTTGGTTTGTTGTTATATTATTTCCTTGACTGCACCCTCGTGAAGAATACATATAGCCCTCAAAAGAAAAAGGCCTTTTAGTTCACAAAAATAAACTCGCCATGCATACATTTGTCAACGACTCATTATCTTTAAGTCGTGCAGAAGCTATGTACATTGTGGAGAACTCTATTCTGAAAGCCCATTTAAAACGTTTTAAGATGTTGGTTGGTATTAGTCTATTAGAGACACTCGTTTACAATTGCACTAATTTTTTTATGATCCTCTGACGAAAAAAGAACCTCATGGAGTAGTTGATAAAATGTTGAAGGATGTTTTTCTAACCCGACGTTTGTTATACATCCCATTTCATGACGGACAATAAAATCCTGCCAGAAATATGGCATATGAACAAAATCAACACGAAAAGACTGGCTTTCTGGGTTCTGGTTTGAAAGTGGCGCCCTTCCCCGTGGAACCTAAAGAACGTAACTTTGTTGTCATAGAACTTGGTATTATTGGGAAGTGTATTCTCTTCGTTGGGAAAATGGTATCAGAGAAAGACGAAGAGGGGGACTTTGAGTGTCTCTCCCCTAGAAAATCTTATATAAGAAAGCAATGCTTTCATCTTTCCACCTGTGGAAGATCTGGCCATTGCAAAATGAGGCCAGTTCATTTTCCTCCGATTCGACGCTCAATAAACAGGTAAAAAAAAAGCTCTTATACACTTGCCGTTAGAATGGTATCCGTTAATATTTCTGTTCTCATAGCAACTTCCAGTGCGTTAGAATTTCGTCTTCAAAACCTCTGAGAAAGTGCAACACTTGAAGCTCATTTTAAAAAGAAAATTCTGATGCACTGTTTTTAATCTGCAGATTTTGTTTCCCTTAGCTGTTTTGATTCAGTTGTGGTATAATGGTTCCCGGAACATCATAACAGATAGGTCATTTGAGATGGTGCATCACCGACTTTACGTCCTTCTCCGTCAGGGTGTGACAGGAAGCCATGAAAACTCCTCAAACAGCCCATATTCATGAACACACAGTTTTGAATTCAAACTAGAGATCATCGCTCAGAGAGCTAGAGAAATAACGATAGATATAAATGGTTTAGCAAATGGAGAACTTTTATGAATGCTGTGCTCTCACCGATTCCAGACGTTGACAGACTCGGAAACTAACGTGAAAAAGAATACTTTTTATCTCTGTGTATCGGGTCAGACAAACAAACTTTGAGAGCTCTATACCTGGGTTATGTCCGATCTTCCCTGGAATACAGCAATAGCCTACTCACTATGTGCAGTACAACTACTTGCAACACCCTTGACAAGGTCCAAAACAATGCCCTTCGTTTTATAAATGGCGGCATGAGATCCACACCTACCGCCGCGTGCGAAATCCTTGCAAATGTTGAACCCCTGGGAATCCGCAGAGATAGAGCAGTTTTGGAGCTACATGAAAGAACTAAAAGAATGTGCCCCAACCACCCAAACAGGAAATTAGTAGAAACATGGAAACCAAAGAAACGAATTCAACAAAAGTCAATCATGCATCACATCACAGAACTAATGGAGAGCCACCATCTACCACAAAATCGAAAAGAAACCAAAAGAGTCAACCAAAACATCCCTCCCCACCTTTCTTTAAAAAAGCCAATCATTACAACATCTCTCAAAGACAAGAGCACAAAATCTTCAGACCCAGTGACGCTGATGCTTGCATCACATCAAACAATCGACAGCTATTCAGATGACTGGATACACGTCTATACGGACGGCTCAGCATTCAAAGGCACAACCAAAGCCGGATATGGAATACTAATACAGTGCCCAGATGGAAGTTTCAATGAGATCTCTGCAGCCTGTGGAGAGAAATGCAGCAACTACGATGCAGAAATGATGGCAATTGAAACAGCAATGTACCATCTCCGCACAGTTTTTGACACTCATCCTGGAAAAGCACAGAGTATTGTGATTTTCTCTGACTCACTATCAGTATTACAAGCCATAGAAAATGACCATCACCTAAACCAAGATTTGACCCATATACTGTTTGGATCCCATCATCTGATAACATTCTGTGGCATCAACCTAGTAATGCAGTGGGTCCCCGGACACTCAGACATACCTGGAAATGACAGAGCAGACACACTCGCCAAACGGGGATCTAGACAGGAACAACCCAACATTCCAACTTCATATAACACTGCAAAACAAATCATCAAAAGCAACAACAAACAAGATTGGATAAACAGATGGGCCCTGGGAAAGACAGGCAGAGCGGTTTTCAAACATATGACCACAACAAAAAGGAATGACAATATCAACCGCCTTCAGAGAAAGAAACAGACCACGATCTTCCGCCTACGAACAGAACATATACAGCTCAACTTCCACTTGAACAGAATAAACCCGGAACTTCCCCCAATGTGTCCCTTGTGTGACTATGCATATGAGACTGTGGATCATCACCTGTTCCACTGTACAGCCCTAAATGACATCAGAGCTACCCTTCTCCCTCCGAGACCTAACATCGACAACACACTCTATGGAACATTACAGCAACTGCAGCAGACCTGCACTTATCACTACATGGCATTGGACAGAAGGGCGAGAGCCCAGCTGTTGCTGGATCGATAACAACAACAACAACATCTCTGTGTATCACAGCAAATATTAGCTTGTTATTAGGGGCATCACTGAGCTCTGTTTTAAAATGATAAGGACCAAGTTAACACGTAAAAATGTGCATAAAATCGGACAGATTTAAAGATATGGTTGAATAACTGTTTTCTACGATTTCCAGTGAGTAAAATACATTTTCACACCTCAAACAAGAAATGAAAGTATAGATGTATGCTGAATCGAAGTTTTGCTTCTCAAAATAATATTTGATACAGGAAACACACTGTCCAAAGTCACCCCTCTTCGCCCGAAGTTTCCCCCACGTTAGATGTCTCCCGCAGAGTAGGGTGGTTTCAGACATCTTAGGGTACCTCAGATGTGATACTCTGGCGGTAAAATGTTATGGTGCACGAAGTTGATATCGGAAGTGGTGATGCCCAAATGGCTAACAATAATAAAGTGAAACCTTTTACTTAAGCTTAAATTGTTCCTGAAGCGAGCGGTGGAGCCAAACGTAAAAAGTGTCCGAAGCGTCCCCGCCCTCCTCTTTTCGCGCGCGCTAAACACCGCTCAAAGGGATACAAGCTGACTTGAATTTTGATAAAAATAAATATTAAGCGGTTGATTTTTATGAATGCGTGGAAGAAGTCTTTGTCAATGGAAATACTAGGAATTTTGAAGAGTGACTTTGTTGCTTAGCTTTGCTCTTGAAGTGGAATAGGGTACAAATTCTCACAACTTTCCACCCTTCATTACTGTTTTGCAGCACACGTGCTAACTTTCAAGCTCGAGATAAGTAACAAGACGATATAAATTTTGGTATGCAATGTGATTGTGTGATTGGGGGCGTGGGTGTTAATCAATGAGTCCTACAAATCTTGTGCAAATAGGCTCTGACAGTAAATGTTTTCGCGAAATCTCTGTTATTAAATAAGACAACTCGTGCCAAAGAAAATCTTCAAAAATACATTTCTAGCGTAGGATTAACACAAAGCCCTGTAAACATTGGTAGATGAATGGCAAAAGAATACGTTTTAATGGAACTCAACTTTCGTAAAAAATCGATTTTTGACCTTTGGTGCCCTGTATCTCAGTTGGAGCAAATGCGTCATACGGCACCTTTCACCAAGCACTTTTATTGTATATTCGATTCCTGCCTGGAAAGTTGGGTTGTTTGTTTGTCTTTTTTTTGGGGGGGGGGGGGTGTTTACAAAATATTTCAGTTTGTCTGCTGGGATGTTGCATTCCTCTCAACCCGGCTTGGCCCTGACAGGTAGGGTAGGGTGAAGAAGCCCGCCTTCTAAATTATCTAAATTGTTTCACTGGGGTGTAAGCATCCACAATTACTCGTACAAAATTCTAATTTAAAAACAACAACAAACCCAAACACTGTTCTGCCATGACTAGCCATGCAGCACATAATTGTTGTGACATACTATCTTTAGACGCATGAGCATGCCCACAGAACTGTACATCCGAGGTTTCCTCATTAAAATTTTCTGGTCAAAAGCCTCAAGGGACTTTGTGTTTGTCGGTTTGTTATTGACGAAGGGGAGGGGGGGGGGGATGTAGACCAATACAGCACATTGACATACATTATCGTATGTTGTGAAGGATTGAGCCTGCTGTCCAAAGAGGATCTAGATATATTATTATAGTTAAGTCCTGAGTGTAGTGTGTATTACTGTAGTCTGAATATCTCCGACTGGCACATGTGTTGTAATGGTTCCACTTTTTGCCTGTATTCTCAAACGACGTGAGTTCGATTTATACTCGGAGACTGCCCCCCCCCCCGAAGAAATGAACAAACAAACTAACAAACAAACAAATAAACAAACAAAAAGTGTCCTAATCAGGCAATTTCCGTCCGGTCCGAATCTGTAGCCTGCAATCTAAATTATGTCAACGGGGGCGTAACACATTCTACTCCGTCCCTGATCTCAAGGCCTGTTCCCGACAGCCATAAACTTTTCCTTATGATTGTATTTATTTTCTGCGTCCCCATTGATACATTTTAGATTATAGGAGGTAGACTGCATCGACCGCGTCCGAAAGGACCAACCCGGGATGAATGAGTTACTTCATCGCAGCAGAAAGGCGGAAGTACACTGTACTCTGTAAAATATAATTCTCCCCTCGGGAGTCGAACTCACATCCTTTGTTGTAGAGCTTTGACAAGCAGTGGTGTTGGGCCTAACCGTTACACTGCAGATGTCGGTCTTAAATGCTCAGATCACACGTCAAATGAGGAAATGTTATAATTGCCTTGTACCCTGCACAGCAACAACAACAAAAAAAGCGTAACTACACTGAGCCATCTTCATTAAGTTTATTTTGTACAAATAATAAATAATGAAACAGCATAATTCACCATAAACGAGACATTCATTTACACACAATCCCTGAGAAGAATTTCTTTTGGGAGGTATTTGTTCCATCCAGAAGGTAAACATTATGTATGCATAAAGCAATGACAACATAAATTACCTTTCCCCAGGAGGGTAGAGCTACATAAAAGCTGTATTTACACTTCCTTTTAGTTAAGTAATCAGTGTTGGCCTCTGGCTCGTTCGTACTTCTTTTGTTTACTCTCCATCCTTTTTGTCTCTTGTCTGAACGAAAGGAAATGTACTGTGTCGATACGCTTCTCTTGTCACAAATTGAATACCCCCACACACACAACAAAATGGATCTATGAACAGATACGATGCAATTTCCAACAACCCCCCCCCCCAACCCCCACACCTTTTTTTTAAATTAAAAAAAAAAATACGCTAACGGGTAGAAGCGAAGAGAGATGGATGGGATGAGGATGGAGCCAGCGGATAGGGATAGTTGGAGCTCTAGAAAACGAAAATACGTAGATCCGGAGCACCGGGAGAACAGCGACTCTGCTTTTAAAAACGGGAAAAAATTATTCCGGGGAACAGCGACTGTGCTGAGCGAATACATCCTCTTGATGGTATTGATCCAAAGATAGTACATAACAAGATGGGCCACTCAGCCAAAAAAGTGTCCGCAGGAAGTTCGCTCTTTGCTTCAGATGGCGCTGCAGTCTGTTTTGCGGCTCTCTTTCGTTTTTCCAGAAGAAGAATAGGAATAGCACCTCCTTGCGTGCGCAGATCGACTGCTGTTCATCAGCAGTTCGGGTTCGTTCAGTGTGGAGTTTTAGGTTTTTAAAAATTTTAATGACCTCTCGCCTTTCATTCTAAAGTCAAATTAAACAAAGAAAACAATCACCCTTTCCTCCGGAAGAGGTTTTTTGTCTGCGTAACCATTTAAAAAAAGCTTTCTTCCAAAATTTATTCAAAAACTTGCTAGTTTCACTTTTATCTTTTAAACTCAAGTAAGGTAACTCTGTTCGCAAAGGGTGCGCTTTAGCGAAGAGGGCGCCACCAAATTTTGAGGACACTTTTTTAATTGGCTCAAAGAGAGAAGTGGCCCCTCTTGTTATGTAGACTCTTTGATTGATCATGGTATCGATGCGGCCTGCTGACGACAGAAATTTCGTTTACAAATTTATTATATGCTACGTTCTATCGTAAAAAATAATATATAATTCGGAACCGCCGTATCAAAATTGAGAAGTAGTTCGAGAGTGACTCTTTTTCCTGTTGGATTTAGAAGATCACCAAAAAAGTATTTTGCTTTGTTTTGTTTTACCACGATTGGATCTTGTAGAATTTTCTTACCACATAGAGTCAAAGAAGACGAACAATACTGTCAGTTGCAGAATTTTTTAAATAATTATCACCGCTAAAAAATCTATTTCATTTTCGGGATCAGCGTATCAAAATAAGCCCAGTGACTCGCGTAGAACTGATATGATGCCATATTTAAACTTTAGCATACTTCGTTTTTGATTGCCAATTACGAATCTGTACATCTATGATCCGAAGTCATGTATCAAGGTCACCCGTTCGATGTGTATCTGACGTCACAGCTGCTAGACCTAGGCCTACACACTGCACAGTCACTGTACAGAATACGGAATGGCGACTTGGTAGTAAGACACTGTTGTTATCTTTTTTGAAATGTAGCGGCCTACAGATCCCAAGAATGTCTGAAGACGATTAAGTCCAGAGACATCCATAACATGAACTTGTTATTTTGCAAACAATTTAATCAAGATACAACCAAAGACTCCCCCCCCCCCCCCGCACACACACAACCCCCCCCCCCCTCTCACCTCACAAGAACAAGGCGGGTGGATCCATTTCAGTAAGCCAGTTTTTTTGTCCAAACGACCCTTATTTTTAACTTGAAAATCGAGACGGAATGCAACATTTCTGGTCTAGCTGTATTCGATACTGTAGGCGATTACACCAAGATAAACTGAAACAAAGAAAGATAGTGAAATACTAGGCCTAGTCGCCGTTCCCCTGTCGGTGTTCCCCGGTAAAGTGACTCCAGCTGTCGTTGTTTCCCGGTCCAGCCTGTAGATCCCTTTGATGACGCCGTTGATGTAGTTCTTACAGCCTTGAGAGCCGGAGTATTTGGCTGAATAGACGCAGAAATCTAGGAGCTTGTTACAGTCCTTGACTGATTGGTAGCTGTATATAGGAGTGAAAAAAAGACAGTTATTAGATCTAGTAGGGGTGTGAGAGCGAGCCCCGTACTTTGGACTTGAGAGTGAGTACCCGAGTACTCGATTCCTGAACACAGACTCTATGTGTTATTTGCTGATGCCTAAAGTAAATTTTACCGCGCCAACCTGTCCTTTCTTTCTCTCCGTACTATTTGCAAAATTAATATTATGTACACCCATGTGTTCACAAAATATATATTGACAGAAGGATAGACAGACAGAGAGACAAATTTGATTTTTTCAAATGTAATATAAAGTGGAGCAAGGAATATACAAGATCAAAAAATAATCTTTTTCCTGGTGAGAAGAGGAGAGTGTGTGGGTGAGAGTGTGTTCTGCTTAAATCATTGGAAGCATTCTTTCGAGTCATCATATAATATGTTATATGTGGGTGAGTGGGAGCGGTGTGTTTGAGTGTGTGCGAGAGAAAGAGAGAAAAAAAGAGAGGAAGAGAGAGGAAGAGAGAGAGAGGAAGAGAGAGAGTGAGAGAGGAGGAAATTGAGAGGAAAACAATTGAGAAAGAGCGAGAGAGAGAGAGAGAGAGAGAGAGAGAGCGAGAGAGAGAGAGAGAGAGAGAGAGAGAGAGAGAGAGAGAGAGAGAGAGAGAGAGAGAGAGAGAGAGAGAGAGAGAGAGCTAGAGAGCTGTTTTTAAATGTATTTGTAAGGGTACAGGAGTACGTAGACCTAGATCAATTTTAGCTAGTAAAAAATCACCATGCATACTGTTGCCCGATCTAATATTATGTTACCTTTTTTAAAATATATTAATGCTAGACTTAGCTTATGTTTTTACGTACTACTAATCTACATCTTTTGATCCCTGATACATTTTTGAACTGCTAATTGTGAAGCCCTCGATGCACTTTATATTAATAGCAATAATATTTAGGCAGAAAAAGAAATATTAATAATGGTAATAGCAACAAACAAAAATATGAAAATTACCGAGACGACCTGAATAGTGCACACAGAACGATGACAAAAAGAAAAAAAAACAACTATACAAAGTGGCAACGAATAAAAACGCAGAAAAAGATGGATGGCGATATAAAAGAGACAGAGAGATGAATGGATGGAAGACATGAGGTCGATTCCAAAGTGAATGTTTTTTATTGTACGAGTATCCTCGCCTTTTTTATGCGATATTCTATCCTATTCAGCCTTCTGTAGGCTGTGCATGATAGGTAGAGATAAACCGTCTCGCTTCCGAAATGATTCAAACTGTGTCCGTGAGTGTCTTAAACATATGCATATACAAATAATCAGAGAAAATTTTTTATGCATGAACTAATACAATCTAGTAATAACATGAGCTTTTCATATGTACAGAGGTGTGATACGAGACTTCCTAGTTTACTTTCATCACCAGGCGACGGTTGTGAACCTGCAATTTGTGTTTACGTCCTCATCCACTCAATTTAGATCATTTGATAGAGGCTGCGTCGACCTTGGCTGTTAGGATCAACCAGGGGCCAGGGCTGAGAGGGATATAAACGCTGAGCAGAAAGTCGGAAACACTGGATTAACACCCCCCCCCCCCAACAAACCAGAGGCGAAGGCTGACTTGTTAGACAGGGTAATCAAAGTGAGACGGTGTCAGATAGGGCCTGGAGATAGCACACAAGAATCTTACTCCGATCCAGGGGGCAACATTGATTTGTAATGAAAACTGAAAACAAATCCTGAATTCATATTGTATGTTCAAACGTCAAAATAATTGGGCAAGTATCTCATTAAATATTTATTCCAATTAACATTAAACCTAACTTTAAATGTGAATACACGAACACAAAGCAAAGAAGCAGAGATGCCAGTACTACATATTGTACCAGGAGTCTAAACTCTTTGGTAGAACATTATGATAATTTTCACTTTTTTATTTTACATTTGGCTGTTTTTAGTCTAGCTTTTCGCGCCAGGAGCCGGTGTCATAATCGAGGTCACGATCTGATTATAGGACGGTAAAAAGTCGAGGAAAAAAATAAAAATAACAAGCACTCGCAGCAGTCAAGAGATTATTAGGAGTTAGTTCCCCTCACATTTGTGAGGTTGACACGACCAGAGTAATAGTTCGCCTACATAATCAATGTTTGTGACTGCTTATGACTTTAACCCGAAAGGGGTGAACAGGGTATATGTGGAAATGAAACAGTTTTGAGTGTTGTGCACTTGTTCCCTTCAGCTCTTTAGGTAGACTCTTCCAGCCTCACTTTCAGCTTACTTAATCAAAGCTTGTGACTGCTTATGGAGTGGCCCGAAAGGGGGTGAACAGGCTATTTCTGTGGCATTGAAACCGTTTTGAATGTTAGGCATACTGTTCATTGGTGATTGTGAACGTCTTTTTACTTTTAATTTATGAAGTTTACGTCTATGGGTGAATTTGATTGCGACAAAGTTTCAAAATTAAGAAGGGAAGCAGTGATTAATTGATTATATAGACGCTTCGCCACTGCAACAAACCTCCTCACACGGGAATCGAACTCATGTCGTCTACATGTGATAGCAAAGCACCTAATGTCTAACCCACAAAGGCCAGTTTTTGGGATGAACAAACAGATTCTTTTAGATTAGTGAATACGTATGACATGATCGAAGTCGCTCATGACATCTGCTTAGATGTACTCACCGAGATCTGTCAGCCTCGCACGTTGTAATCAAAGACTGTATTTGACTGTCGATGAAGGCCGGCGTGGGGAAGTCTGAGTTGAATGCAGCCTCTTCGATTCCTGGAATCAGATTTAAAATAGCATAGTAAGTAATGACTTCTATTAATTCACCTGCACCTTCACCTTTACCTTCACCTTCACCTATCCCTTAGACTGGAGGTCCATGGGGCGCTTTTGAAGATTTGGCAACCAGCTTCCTCCACTCCTTTCGGTCTTCAGCTTTCCTGAGTCCAGGTCTATCCATTCCTTGGTGTTGTCTTCCATTCCATCTCTTCTTCGGTCTGCCTCTGCTCCTTTTTCCCTAGACGCTGCCTTGCAGGATCATCTTGGCAAGGCCGGATGAACGGGTGATGTGTCGATACCGTCCCAGTTACGTTCCCTAACCAGAGTGAGAAGGTCAGCATATGGTCCGATTTCATTTTTTGATCCGTAGTTTGACTTCTTCATTTTTTATGTGATCTTTGTATGATATACCAAGGATTTTTCGGATGCATCTAATCTCCATAGCTTTGATCCTTCTTTCAAGGTATGCATTCAAGGTCCATGATTCACATGCATACAAAAGTATTGACATGACCAGGGAACGCATCAGTCTGATCTTTGATTTGGTGGTGATATTTCTGTCGTTCCAGACGGTTTTCAACTCGGTCATCACTGCTGAAGTTTACGCTATTCTGGAGATTATTTCTGGTTTGTGATCCTTCGTCTGTCACTGTTGCACCCAGGTATTTGAAGCTGCGTACGGTCTCAAGCCTCTGGTTGTTGGCCTGGATGTCTACTGTGATGTTCTTGTTGCTGTTAGACATCATTTTGGTTTTCTCAGCGCTGATTTCCATGCTGTAGACCGTGGAGGTCTTTTCATGACGGTCTACTCAAGCTGACTAGTACTTGCCCTTGTCCTGCAAGGCCGTCAATGTCGTCTGCAAAAAGTAAGTTATTAATCGTTCTGCCGCCAATACTGACTGTTCCTCCGTGATCTTCAAGAGCATCTGCCGTGATCCTCTCCAAGAAAATGTTGAAAAGAGTGGGTGAGAGCAGACAACCCTGGTGTACTCCCACTGTTGTTGTTGAAAAAGACTGCGCTCGTAACTTTGTTGTATAGCTTTTCTATGACTTTGATAAGGTTGGCGTTGATGTTGTATAAGTTCATGGTTGCCCACAAAGCTTTCTGCCATACCCTGTCAAATACGTGGTAGAGCTCCTGTTGGTCTTCTGTGTACTCTTATATGATGATTCTCAGGTAAATATTTGTTCATTTGTGCTGCACCCTGTTCTGAAGCCTGCCTGTTCTTCTGCTATGATTTTCTCTGCTTGTGGCTTCAGTCTGTTGAGAATGACTTTAAGCATTACTTTACTAGGATGTCTAATCAGGATAATAGAACCACAGTTTTGGCATAGTTGAAGATTGCCTATCTTGGGATGGGTGATGATCAAGGATTGAGTCCATGGTTTTGACCATTCGCCTGTCTGCCAGATCGTGTTGTAGATTATCCATGGCATGTCTATCACCGAGTCTCCACCTGCTTGAACTATACTGTTCAAAAAAAAGAAACGCATAACCAAATTGGTCATCGTGTATAATCGTATATATAGCACTGAATAACTTTTGATATGAATGAAAGAAAGAGAATACATCTTAAAATTTTATTTGTCGCTGTTTATTGATTATCAACAAAGTTGAATTGATTTTGAACAATCAATTGGATGCTCCAATCCGTCCGTCCAAGGGCGGCCATTCAGTAGCGGGTGTGGCCTCCTGCTGACTGGAGTACCGCTTGGCATCTTCTAGTTCTAGGCATCGAGGTGATGAGACAACGAATGTTGGGAAGCAGTATTGCCCTCTACTCTTCATCAAAGGCGGCAAAACAGTCCATTAGGAGTGGCAGGGGAGACAATTCAGTTCCGGAGATTTCTGTCCAAAGCATCCCAAATGTGTTCTATAGAGCTCATATCCGGTGAATTTGAAGGTCATGGGAGTGTCTGGACATTGTTCCTAGCCAGAAAGTCTCTAGTTATTCTGGCAGTATTCTGCCAGGCATTGTCCTGCTGGAAGATTGTCCCTGGTTGTTGAAGCAATGGAAGGGCATGTGGTAGGAGAACGTTGTTGATGTAGGCCTGGGCTGCCAGATTGCCTTGTACTCTCACCAGGTTGCTCCTGCCAGTGTGGCTGATTGCTCCACACACCATCACACTGCCATCCCCATGCGATAAGGCTAGGGAGAGGCATCCAGCAGGTAACCTCTCATTTCGACGTCGTTGAACTCGACGTCGTCTGTTCTGTCGAGAGATGAAAAATTTGATTCATCACTGAACAATACGTTCCGCCAATTATGTAGCCTCCAGTTGACGTGCTGAGTGGCCCATTGTCGTCGCTGTTGGCGATGCCGGTCCGTCAACAATGTCCTTAAAAATGTCGATATGCGCGAGCCCTCTTTCTCGGGGTCGGTTGCGTACTGTCTGGTCGGAAGTTCTGATGACATTCCGAAGTGCTCGGACCGTTGAAAAAGCAGGCACAAAACGACCCCACAGGTGATGAAGCTGAATAAAGCGATCCTGGGCTCGAGTGGTTGCCCTTGGCCGTCCACTTTTCGGTTAATCGACAGTGGAGTTGGGCTGTTGAAACCTTGCAAAAAGTCGGCTGATAGTAGACTGTGACATGTTAAAATGTGTTGCAACATCAGTTTGGCTTTCTCCCTCTTACAAACGGCCAATAGCCTGGTTTCACGCTTCTATCGTTAGTCGTGGCATGGTGTATCGCTGAACTGACAAGTGATGAAACAAATTGTTTTTCGTCCATTATATAGCCACCCAGTGAATGAACTCACACGCCAAATTTTGTGCGACCACTCACAAAATAAGACGAGCTGTGAGCTTTTTAACACTCAATTATCACACCATTCAACAGCTCAGGTTGCGCCTACCTGTGAGTAAACAATTAAATTTGTTGTGGAAAGTTCAAGACAATAAGTAACACATATGTGTGAAAAAAACCTAGCATGCACAAAACCTAATCTTTACATATTTTATTCTCACGAAAACACATGCTCTTTCTTATGCGTTTCTTTTTTTTTCTTCTTTTTTTTTGGAAGAGTATAGTTCTTCTGTGATGTTGTTTATTCCTGCTGATTTCCATTTCTTCAGTGATGAGGACTGCTGCCGCTATCTCTTCTCTTAAGATACGGCTTTTGTCATTGTCTTGTGATTGCGAGGCATTGAGCACTCTTGGATCTCCTGTGGTTTTGCGAGTGTACAGATCAGAGCAATATTCTATCCACCGGTTCTGAACTTCTTGTTTCTCTGTCAGACATTCCCCTCTTTACTTTGTATTGAAGTGGTCGGCACTTGTTTGGTACTTGTGAGATCTTTGATGATTTGGTAAGCCTTTTTTTTTTATAAATTTTTTTTTTTTTACTGTTGTTTCGATTCAGGCTGTCTTCAATTTCTTCACACTGTTCTTCAACCCTTTTCTCCCTTGCTCCTCTCATTCCCTTTTTCACTTGCAGATTCGCCTCTCTGTATTCTTGTGCACCTTCTGGTTCCATTTTCTTGTTCTTCAGAGCTCTTAGTTTGTCGCATAGGTCAAGGGTGTCAGCTGTGACCTAGGGCTTCCTTTTCACGCGATGTTTCCCAAGGAGCTCGTTTGCTGTTTCTGTCACGGCGGTGTCGAAGGTGTTTGTCAGGGAGTCAACTCCTGTATCATCTTGATTTAGCTCTAGGAGTGGAGGAAACTTTCCACCTATTTTGCTTGAAAACATTCCAATATGGTTTGGTCTTTGAGTCTTTCAAGGTTGAACTTGATCCGGGTGTTGCCTTGTTTCCTGCACTTTTTAAGACGCAGTGAAAATGTCATCATGATATGGTTGTGATCACTGCCGATGTCTGCTCCTGAAAAACTTCTGGTCTTGGCAATGTTGACACTGCTTTGAAAGTGAAGCTTGATCATGATGTGGTCTATGTGATGTAAATCTCCACTTGGGCTGCACCACGTCAATCTCCTTGATGCCTTATGTGGGCCAAAATGTTCATCAGCTTTAGGTCGTTATAGCTGATACGTTGCAGGAGCCATAGACCTCTGTCATTTGTGTTGGTATTGCAGTAGGGTCCACAGATTCCTTCCCAGATTTTCGCTGTATCTTCCCCAATCCTAGCATTCCAGTCGCCTTGTACCACAATGATATCCTTCTTTGGTGTTTCGTCCAGTGCTTCTTGGAGTTGCATGTAGGAATCCTCCACTTCTTCATCGTCATGTGCTGTTGTTTGTGCTTATGCTTGGATGACAGTGATGTTGAATAGAGATGCTCTCAGGCGTATGGCCATGAGTCGGCAGGAAACTAGCCAGCAACCCAGGACAGCATTCACAGTGTCTTTTTGAATGAGTATTCCAACTCCTTATTCACGGCGGTCTTCTCTGCCACTGTATAGTTTATGCCCTTCTGGGGTTGATGTTTTTCCGAAGTTCTTCCCTTGCAACTCACACATTCCCACGATGTTCCAACGACATATTTTCATTTCGTGCTCTAGTTCCTAACCTTCCCTGCTTTTATTGATATTCGTGGGATATTTTGGGAGCGAATCAAGGGTATTATTGTGTCGTATTGCAAAGAGGTAGGGCACACAGTTAGCTCAGTTGGTATTAGTTGCATGACACCTGTGAGTATTAATAGTAAAACATACGCTTGACTGGACTGTTTCGCGCCCGTGAAGGTTAATAAGGTGCTAGTGAATACACGTTAAATTTGTCTGCTTTAGTTCACGAACTTTTTAAAGCTTTTCACCTATCTGGCTAAATCCTGCCGAAGAGGGACTGACTATACTTACGACACACTAGTTAGAAATTTTGATAGCAGGTAATGGATTTTGTGTCTTGAAATACTACGTGTCACAATCCCTCACAGCGCGCGCGTGTGTGTGTGTGTGTGTGTGTGTGTGTGTGTGTGTGTGTGTGTGTGTGTGTGTGTGTGTGTGTGTGTGTGTGTGTGTGTGTGTGCACCCGTGTGCGTGTGCATGTGTGTTCATGTGTGTCCATGTGTGAGTTCATGTGTGAGTCCATGTGTATGTCTCTGTGTGTGTGTTTGTGTGAGTGTGTGTATATGTGTGAGCGTGCGTGTGAGCGTGTGTGTGTGTGTGTGTGTGTGTGTGTGTGTGTTTGAATAAGAGAGGGAAAGAGAGCGAGAGAGAGAATGAACGAGAGAGAGAGAGAGAGAGAGAGAGAGAGAGAGAGAGAGAGAGAGAGAGAGAGAGAGAGAGAGAGAGAGAGAGAGTACAAGCGTTCTACGTTACCATTACAAGCAGGATTGGTTCCTCCGAACATCACCATGAGGTCATCGAAGCGCTGTTCCGCAAACTCCTGAGAGAGACCCAGACCACCACAACGGATAAACATCCATCTGGAAACAAGCAAACAAAAACAGTTATGAATACATTTGCTCCACCCCCCCCTTCCACCATATATACTGAATGCCATTAAAAACGCAAAACTTCGTTCGCAGAGTCTGTACACGTTTGTAAGAACTGAAGATAGATTGAAAGAAGTGTTTTCTGAAGTTTATTCATTTTCCAACAAATGTGGATCATTTTAATCAAATACTTCAAATGATTTCGATACCTTGTCTTCCTTCTTTCGGAGTACCCCCTCTAGACAAATTTGCAGATAAGCACAAGTCGAAACTTAATAAAGATCTCTCGCTCTTAGTAAACTGCACGGCCATCATTAAAATGTGTAAAGACCAAAAGATGTCTTCACATGGATGTTATAACATTTTGGATTTTAAAAAAAGAAATACTGACACACCTCAGCGCACTACGACATCCAATGGCAGCAGATTTGCAAAACGGCCTCTTACACGCGCTTTGCGGTTCAGCTCATCCCTTATATGCGCAGTTGGAGACATTTACGGCAGGAACACTGGTCAGTCCATGACATTCATGTTATGATCTTTCAGAAACTGTACTGTCTGTTATATGGGCAGTGTGAGGGTAGGGATGTCGTGTTGGATGACTGAGAGATTCTGTTTTCCCGTGCTGCTGCGCACAGTGAATAAGGCGCTCTTGCAGCGGATTAGTCTTCGCAGTTCTAAATAAGGCGTTCTTGTTCTAATTCTTGGATAACTACGCAGCGCCTCACATTGATGGAAGAAACACTTGCACGTACTCCTTGCACGCCTAGAGCTGTTACTTTTGCATGAGGGAAACGATTCGCAGATGTGACGGCATAAGCTGTCCGTTTTGAGCCGTGCTGGTCTGTCGAGACTACTATTTTTGGTCAATCTTGGACATTGCAAGTGTGCTAAAATTTTTGAGTAAGTCGGGAAACAATATACGCAGTGCATTTTAGCCGTCTTGCTGCTTCTCGGGCAGATTTCCCGCCTTGCACTAGGTGGAGGCAAAACTTGCCCTCAACTTCGCTAAGTTGAAGCATCTAGAAATGAAAGAAAAACCAAAACTGATTGCAAAAATGTCCGGACTTCTGTTTGGAAAGAGCCACTTATCATCTTCTAAGTGAATTAAATTCTTTTTATGAGTAATATTGCGTCTCATTAACACATATTGCCAAAATATTGGTCACTGTGCTAGGAATTATACTATAATATTATAAGCTAAATTCGCGAAATACTGTTTGTTTTTGCTATGGTGATCATGTTCGTTTCGTTTTCCTGTTTTGTTTTTGTTTTTTAATACAAAAAAAACAAACAGGGAATTTAAGCACAAACTGTTTTGTTGTTGTTGTTAGAATCTAACGAAAGGATACAGGATCATCACTATGAATATTACATTTCAACCGAATACATTTTCAACTTCCGGTTAATGCATCAACATGCAGAGTAGTGGTTATCTCCATCGTTAGATTGGATAACCGCAGTGCATCTCCGGTACAAGAAAGCCACTTGGTTGTTGGAAAAACGTAGCGGGATCTGTCACCATATCTCCTGGATGGCCACATACAGTTCCTAGTCCCTGTGTGGTTCTCGGCCTTGCTTGTCTTACCTCGATGCGTCTTTTAATTGCGTCCCAAAAAAAAAGCATAATTCGGTTTAAATTCGTGCTAACGGCAGGGTGCGACTGCAGAGTGATGCTATTGTGTTGGAGGAAATCCTGTGCAAAACGGGAAATGTGCGCACAAGCATTATCTTGCTGAAACAGAAGTTAAAAATGTGTCTGTGTAGAAGAACCTCTGCAATGCAACCAGCAGCATTGATACCTTGACCTCGATTTTAGAAGGTCATTGGTCCTACTTTGCTGCTCCACATGAATTATAACTTTTCGTTTTGACAGTGTGTCGTGATGTATATATCATACACACACACACACACACACACACACACACACACACACACACACACACACACTGTCACATGTACACAAACACAAAATTGGTTGTTGTTTTTTGTTCAATACTTTAGCCGTACAGGCATGTGTTGTTGAGTGATCGCTCTGATGTCTGTTGCTTTTCTTTATTTTTAGTGATTTTTTTGTTTGTTACTCGCCCTCTGCTGATCCTTGGAAAATGTGATGTTTATCGTTCTGTTTCTCCTATAATATTCCACTGCTTTGCTCACTCACACTTAAACGATCCTCCCTCCCCCCTTCCCCCTTAGGGCAGTGCTACTGACTGAACTTATCTTTTTAGTCCATTCCCAAGGGGCGGTTGGGTATTAACATGTTCATATGCACAGTAGAATTGTAAGTGGGCTGATGTACCAATGTCATGCTCATACTGTGCCGGAACAACATAGAGGGAACTGCTGCTTTTTCTTTCATCATCCTTACTATCGTCATTTTCCCTCTGCTTCTTGTGTATGTTTCTTACTCTCTTTTGAACTGCTGTGTGCTGTTGAGGCTAGAGAGGTGCGCAGAGTAAGCCTCGATTGGTCTTCTTTGTTGAGATCCGCCCCTTGACGCTCTTATGACCGTATGCATTTGCGAGCGCCGTAAAACCATACAAACAAAACAACAAAATGTGTAGCAGTTATCTGTATGGTTCGTCGTATAATATTCCACTGCTTTGCTCACTCACATTTAGACGGACGCGCTAACACGCGAACGTTCACTCACACATATCATTATGCAGTCACAGGCTCGCGTGCACACACGCACGCACACACACACACACACAC